GTAATCTCTACACCCAACATGGGGCTCAAACTCACAACCTGGAGATCAAGAGTTGCATGCTCTACCAACTGAGCCAGCCAGGCACTCCTTGAAGTAACAACTTTTTTAAAAAAAGAGATTTATTATTTATTTGACAGAGAAAGAAACAGCAAGAGCACGAGAACACGCAAAGGGAGAGAGAGAGAGAGAAACACGCTTCACGCAGACCACCCAGCACGACACAGCCCGAAAGCCCAGGACCCCGACACAAGAAACCAAGACCAAAGCAAAAACCAAAAAACAGACACACAAACAAGCCACCCAACCAGGAGACCCTGGAACAAGAACTTAAAAAAAAGAGAACCATGACAACTAGAAACAAAACACAAAAGGAAAAAAAAAAAAAGCAAAATATCCCATTCAAGGCTAACAGTTGCCCTAAAGAACACTCCCGTCGGGCACCCCCTAGACAGAAAAAGAAATGAAAGCCAAGAGAAGAAGAGAAAATCACCAAAGGACACACAACTACAGAAAAAAGAAAAGGGAGACAAACACCCGCAGCACGGTGCCAAAATCCACACACAGCGCCACACAACCACGCGGCACAGACAAACAGCACAGGGTCCCCACCAGAGCCAACGACAAGAATGCCTCTGCCCCAGCAATAAAGAACAAACCCAACCAGCAATCAACAGACCAGCACCCACACGCCCCCAAGAAACCCTCAATACTCCATCCCATGGCCCTTCAGCCTCACAACTTTTGCCTTCTGTCTTGTGGTCCTTTGGCTTCTGCTTCCTCTCCTTGTCAACTGCTAACCCCTCCCAGTGCCTCCAAGTCAGACTCCTCAACAGAGAGGATCTGATGGGCTTCTATTGGGCAAAGCTCACATGTCAGGCCGCTCCAAATGCTGCTGGCCGACCCCTTGATGGGCTGCTCCTGGCTCATGGGCCATCCTGGTCCAAGTGGATGTGGCCAAGAACTTAACGGACACCTGATGTTCCCCAGAAGGGCCTGAAAGTCTGGCTGGTTCTCAGAGCCTAAAAACTTCTAAAACTTCAACTCAAAAAGGATTTAAAAGGATTAGAAGAGTGTCACGGACATGGATGCTTTTGCCTTCCTGTCTGAGGTTGGGCTGCCTTAACAAAATACCATAGACTGGGGGCCTTAAACAGCATACATGGCTTTTCTCACAGTCTTGGAGGCTGGGAAGTCCATGATAAAGGTACTAGCCAATTGTTTCTGGTGAGAGCTCCTTTCCTGGCTTGCAGATAGCAGCCTTCTTGCTGTGTTTTCACATGGCAGAGAAGGAGGGAAAGAACTCTCTGGTGTCTCTTATAAGGGCACAAAAGGCCATGGGCACTAATCCCTCATGACCTCATCCAACCCTAATTACCTCCCTAAGGCCCCATCTCCAATAGCAAAACACTGGAGGTTAGAGCTTCAATGTATGAATTTGTGGGGGATACAAGCATTCAGTGCATAACACTGCCTAATATTCCTTCCCCTTTCTGGGACCTACACCCTGACTTCCTTTTGGGAATCACCCCTCCCCCACTCAGTTCCTGTGGTCCTGGAGAACTACCCACACATAGCTACACGGGTAGGTAGAAATTGCCCTGTCCAATAAAAATATCTACTCCCTGGATATAATGATTGTTTAAAAGATAGAGCCATGACCCATATTTGGACCAATCAGAGGGCCTGCCATAGACTGAATTATGCCCCCCCAAATTCATATGTTGAAACCCTAGCCCCCAGTATGACTGTATTTGGGCATGGGGCCTTATGGGAGATCATTAAGGTTAAATGAGATCATAAGGGTGGGGCCCCAATCCCATAGTACTAGTGTCCTTATAAGAAGAGGAAGAGACCCCAGATCTCCCCCCCCAGCCCAACTCTCTCTCTCTCTCACCCCCTATCCCCGTGCACAGAGGGGTGAGGACATGTGAGGACTCAGTGAGAGGGTAACTGTCTACAATTCAGGAAGAGAGACCTCACCGGAAATCAGCCCTGATGGCCCCTCGATCTTGGACTTCCAGCCTCCAGAACCATAAGAACGTAAGTCCTGACCATGCCTGATTTGAGCACCTGGATCTGCCTGAACTAGGTCTCATGTCTACATACCACAGTTACACAAGCCAATGAATTCTTTCTGCTTGAGTTTCGTTTCTGTCACTTGCAACCAAAAGCACCGCGACTGATACAGAGTCAACTCTCATTTTATTATATTCTTTCATTATATCTGACCAGAGATGATATCATAATTACACTGGTGTAAATGAGTTGTAGTCAGACAGTGACAGTCTAATTGAAGCCTTGGAACCTACACTCCCTCGGGGCAGGTGAACAGAGAAGAACTTGGAAATTCTTGAATTCTCACCGGCTACTTGGAGACCGTGCATCTGGTTGGCTTTCTCCTAGAGTGTGAAATCTTTAAGGGGGGTTATGGAGTCCTTTGCCTAAGCCCTTGCTCCTCCAAGGGGCAGCCCTTCCCACCAAGAGCATCACCCAGTGTAGAAATCTCCGTGTGCATGGCAGCAGGTCAGATCTATGGAGCCTTTGCTTGACACCAGGCCAGCACATGGCCCTTGTACGGCCAAGCATCTTGCTCAAGCTCTTAATTGATCATGATGCACTGATTAACTTAAGAGTGGCTGCCAGCAGGGATTATTTCCTGTGTGGGCTGGATGGCCACATCGGCCAATAGGAGTCAGAGAAACCCAGCAAATTCTCAACTCCAGTGGCCTCAGGAAATGACAGTGGTTCTCAAACTTCAGCATGCATCTGAATCATGTGGGAGGTGGGGGGGTAACAACTTGTCAAAACACAGATTGCTGAGCCTCACCCCCAGAGTTTCTGATTCAGCAGTTCTGGGAGGGGCCTGAGAATTTATATTTCTCACAAGTTCCCAGGGGAAGCTGGTGCTGCTGGTCCAGGGACGATACATTGAAAATCACTGATTTAGAAGATTGCTGGAGAATTGGGTGAAGGCCCTTCAGAGGAGGAGAAATTATCCAGTGCTTGGTGTTTGGGTTTCCCTGAAACCTTCACTCCAACAAAGACCCACCTCTATCATCTCCGTTGTGGGTTCTGAAGCCTTGACAAAGGAAGGGAGTGAAAAATGCAAATTTACAGACAAAACGATATGTAATACCAACTTCATGCCAGTGGGCATAGAGCTGGGACTGTTACAGAATGGTTGTGTGTCTGTCACAGCCGCTCCTAGGTACACTTACCTTTGTTTCATGGAGAAAGAAGTAGAGGTAGCAGGGGCGCCTGGGTGGCTCATCGTTAAGCGGCTGCCTTCGGCTTGGGTCATGGTCCCAGGGTCCTGGGATCGAGTCCCGCATCGGGCTCCCTGCTCGGCGGGAAGCCTGCTTTTCCCTCTCCCACTCTCCCTGCTTGTGTTCCCTCTCTCGCTGTGTCTCTCTCCGTCAAATAAATAGAATCTGAAAAAAGAAAAAAAAAGAAGTAGAGGTAGCAGGCAGTGTTATCTAAAGAGAAGACAGGTAATGGAGTTAATTTTCTTTTTTTTTGGTCATGAAAATTACCAAATGTATACAAAAGTAGGGAAAATAGCATAATGAATCCCCAAATGCCTCCAACTTGGCAATGACAGGTTCTCCAAGTTGAGTGTTCATCAGAATCACCTGGGAAACTTGTCAAAATAGAGATTGGGTGAATATCTCCACATCCTAGAATTATCAAGACTTTGCCACATTGATGACAGTCTTCTAATTGTACAGCACCGGCATCCTATAATCTCTGAGAGGCAGATTTTTTGGGTCATTCACAAATGAAGTTAGAAGTTCAGCCACAAGGACACTCTGCTCAAAGGGAACACTGATAACATATCTCACCGTGGTAGCCCCGACTGGGCCTGTCTTCATTCAGAAAATAATCCGGAGGGGCTCAGGTCATGATCTCAGGCTTCTGAGAGCGAGCCGTGTGTTGGGCTCTGCACTCAGTGTGGAGTCTGCTTGTCCCTCTCCCTCTGTTCCTTCCCCTGTTTTCTCTTTCTCAAATAAGGAAAATAATTAACTAACTAACTAACTAACTAAACTAACTAACCCAGAAGGGAAGCAACACAGTATGTCACTTGGATAACTGTTTCACAGCTTCTAATGAAAGTAAAGGTAGGCTCACCCTGTGACCCAGTAAATCCACTCATAGGTATTTACCCCAGAAAAGGAGAGCTTATTTATGTCCACCAAAACAAACAAAACTTCCCAGAATGTTCACCGCAGCTTTATTAGGTACAACAGGAAGATCTCAAACGCGGAGCTGAGTGAAAGAAGCCGGACCCAAATGAGAATATTCAGTACTATTTCAAGTATAGCAAGTCCAAAAACGGGCAAAACGAATCTATAATGACAGAAAGCAGAATACTGTGGTGGCCTCAGGCTTTGGGGTCAGGGGGTGCTATGAAGGAAGGTAGATTGGGAAGAAGCACGAGGGATCTTTTGGGAGTATTGGCACGTTCTATTAGTTGAGTTGGTGGTGGTTACACAGGTGTGCACATAAAGGAAAATTAATGGAGCTGAACCCGGAGGGTCTGGGCATTTCGGTGCGTGTAAGTTACACTTCAGGCAAGTCCTCTTCCCTCACATCCGCAGCCACGCCCACACCAAACCCCGGGAGGCCCAGACCCAGCTGCGGCCCCGGCCTTGCTCGCTTCGGAAGGGCCCGGCCCACCGTCCGTGTGCCGGCTCCCTCCAGGCCAGCTTCCGCGCCTCGGCGAGCGCAGGGAGGCCGCGCCCTCCCGGGAAAGCGCCGG